CGAGAACTTGCTCAAATTACTAATCTTAAAGAATCAACAAGATTTATTTGTTGTAATATTTATGATTTACAAGAACATTTATCAAGTGACCAAGATGAATTATTTGATATTGTTTTTACTTCGTATGGTGTTACTATTTGGTTACCTGATATTGATCAATGGGCTTTTTTAATATCTCGATATTTAAAACCAAATGGTATTTTTATCATGGCAGAATTTCATCCGATTGTTTAGATGTTTGATGATACATTTTCACGTATTGATTATTCATATTTTAATCAAAATGCAATTGTCTCGCAATCTACTGGTACTAATGCTGATCGCAATGCTGCAATATCTAATTTAAGTGTCGAATGGAATCATAGTATTAGTGAAATTCTTCAAGCACTTATCAAGCATGGTCTTCGAATTGATATTCTAAGAGAATTTGACTATTCATCCTATGATTGTTTTTCAAATACTGTAAAGACAGAAGATGGATTCTATCAAATTAAAGGTTTAGAAAAGAAAATACCCATGATATATGCTCTCAAAGCAACAAAATCAGCTTAATATTAAAAAAAATGTGCAGTAAAATTTTAATAAAAACAGATAATAAAGTTACGATAATAATTGAAAGTTAAATAGTAACTTATTTAATAACATCTCACTTAAAATAGTTTCACAAATAAAATAACTATGTATGTCAAATACATGTGATCCAGGTAAGTCAACAGAAAGTAACAATAGTTGTGTTACTTTATTTATAGATAACATAAATAAGTTATCTTCATACTATAAAATGGCAAAGACATATATATGTTGATATAAGTATTTAAATAATTGTTTTAAACAAAAATGACATACTTTATGTTTCCTGTACTTTTGTAAGTTTTTTTTTATATAAATAAAAATATAATAATAATAGAATGTTAGATTGATCAATATTTTGATATTAATATCACATGTTAACCTACAAGTTTTATATGAATGTAATTTTGACGATTCTATTCAAACCGATCACTGCTTTACCACATATATAATTGTGACTTCTGGTGTCGGTGTGCCGATTTTTGTAGGTAGTATTGTTTGAATTAGTTTTTATTGTTCAAAACTTGTACCATTTAATTCATCTAAAATACACTTCTGTGAAGAAAATAACACAAAAGTTATTTTAGAAGTACGATGGTAATATTGCACTTTCTACTTAATCTGATAAATGGTAGTTTTGAATAGTAAAAATTGATTTATATAACCAAATTTTTATATTAAACAATCTAAAAATCTTCTAGCACCAAGTGTGCCCTTGTCTGATGTAACTTCAATTCGTAAGTTAATAATAAAATCTTATGTATATTCTGAATGTTTTTACTTACCGTTAGTTACACCAACAAATGATGGGCAAATATGTGCTTTACCTTATAAAGTAGCGAATTTTACCTGGGATATGTATTTTTGTAACAAGGGCTATTGTCCAACTGAAATAAATTCCAATAGTACATGTGCGACAGGTTAGTTTAAAATAATTCAAATTATGTCTTTGTAGTAAACTCTTTATTACAATCTAAAGGTAAATTTGGTAGTTTACAGTTGACCGATAATACGATAAAATCTTTCCAGATCAAACCTAAACCAGGAGGTATTAATGGTACTAATGAACAATGTCTTATTTATTATTACTATTTGCCAAATGTGACTAACAATACTATTACTGTTATAAAAGAAGAAATTAATGGTAAAAATGAAACAATTGATAGTGTAACTAGTACTTCAATCAATGGATGGATCAAACGTCAAGTATCATTTTTTGCTTTGGAATCAAATTATAAAGTATGCAATATAATTGTAACATCAAATTATCACACATATTTGTAAATTCGATGGATATTATAGATATTCTTCGATATACAAAGGAGATCTGGTACAGTATCTCCTACCGTTGGAATCGACGAATTATCAATTTATCAAGGCAACTGCAGTATGTTGATATTCATGAGAAGTAAAAAGTAACTTGTTAATTGATATTAATATAGGTGAAGATACTCTAACAACTGAGTTAACATCGATGACAACTATGGAAGATACTACATTTACGTACGTATTATTAGAGAATATTGAGTATTATGTTTATTCCTTATCATTTATATAGGACTTCAATTCAACTTGAAACAACAATCACAACAGTAAGTTATAATAAAATAGAAAAAGAGTTTCAACGACTTTAATGGTACTCTTTAGCAATCCACTAGTATAATGATATTAACCAGTAGTGTATCTGCAATGACTACAGTAATATCTCTTTCATTTTTTACTATTAATGATTTATTTGTACATTTAAAAAGGATAATATGTCAGAAACAAAATTTTCTGCGGAAAGTACTAGCAAGTTAGTTCGATAAATATTTTGTTTAATATATTCTTAAGTTTTTAATATAGTACATTACCAACAACAGTTACATCAGTACCATCTACAGAATCTACTAGCGAGTTAGTTAAAAAAAACGTATATTTTAATATATTTTAATAACTTTCAAATAGTGAATTTTCAACAACTATAATTTCTACTGAAACAACAAGCAGGTCAGCTTAGTTAACACCTATTTTAATACATTCTAATAACTTTTAAATAGTACATTTCCAACAACAACAATACCAGCAATAACGACAACAACACCAACAACGGTACAAACAACATCCGCAACGATATCAACATCAACAACAACATCAACGACTACAACAACAATAATAATATCAACAACAGCCACATTTTCAACTGGAACAACAAGCAGGTTAGTTTAATCAACGTATACTTTAATATATTCTAATCAGTTTTAAATAGTACATTTTCAACAACAACAACACCACCAACAACAATAACATCAACGACAACAATAACATCAACAACAACAATAACTACAACGACATCAACACCAACAACAACAGTAACGATATCAACACCACCACTAACAACAGTAACAATAACATCGACATTTTCTACTGAAAAAACAAGCAGGTTAGTTTAATCAACGTATACTTTAATATATTCTAATCAGTTTTAAATAGTACATTTTCAACAACAACAACACCACCAACAACAATAACTACAACGACATCAACACCAACAACAACAGTAACGATATCAACACCACCACTAACAACAGTAACAATAACATCGACATTTTCTACTGAAAAAACAAGCAGGTTAGTTTAATAAACATATATTTTAATATATTCTAATCAATTTTAAATAGTACATTTTCAACAACGACTACATCACTACCAACGACAACAACATCTCATACTACCACCAAAACTCTACCGACAGTAATGTATCAGATAAAAATAAAAATGATATTACTTATTTTAATATCGCTATCATTTCCCATTCTAAATAAATCGTTCTTACAGTTTTATAATATCATATTCTCGAAAGAAAGCTAAGAATATCTCTTCTATTCTTGTATATTAGTTTTCTTTATACTGCAATCTAGACATATAATCGTTAATTTATTTGCTATAATAATATGTCTTTCTTATGATAATGTCAACAAACATAAGACATTCATAATAGTCAACGATAAATAATACATTATATAGTATCCTTAGTATTTCTTTGTTTATGTAGGTGGACAGTACTCAAGAAGAAATTCATTCTTCTACAACTAGTCAAACAATATTATCGACACACGATAAAACTTCAACAATAACGATAACAACAATTGCATCATCATCATCATCACCAATAGAAACTACATCGATTACAATAACGAATACATTAACCAATAATGTGAATCCATCCAAAAAAACATACATAATTGTTTTATCAACAGTTATTCCTACTGTTGTAATTTTATTAGCAATTGGTATAGTTTGGTGGAAACGATCATCATCATCAAAAAGTAATTCTACAACTGGTTCACGAGCATTCACCGATATAAATAAACGTAGAAAAGCTAATTTGAATTTTGAACTCGAACCAATGGATGGGGAATATTCATCGTCTTTTTAGTGTTTATTTTTATTTGTGTTAATATAACGTTAAAATATTATTTTATTCAGAAATATATAGTTTAAAAATCGAATTATCCTACTTAGAACAGTAAATAAAAATGACACAAATATGTTTGAAAAATCTTATATTAATATTTGACAAGTCTTGCTGGATATGAAACAGGTGGATAAACTAAATTTACATGTGCACGACGACGAGGAAGAAGAATTACGAACGCTGTATAAATATAAATTGATAGAAATAATATGGGAAATAGCAGCATTAGAATAGACATGGCTAATTGTGCTTTAAGAACTTGAATTTTAGTTGGAGCTGTACTTATCATTGTATTATATGGAGTAACTGCATTTGCATCCAAACCAATTAAAATACAAATAAAAATAAATGCAATTGAATGTGTTGCTAAAGTAAAAGTTGCCCAAAGATGTGAACAATTATAGATGAATACTATAGAAAAATAAATTGAATTACTTTGTAAATTAATTTTAAATATTTACCAAGAAGATACATAAATGCAATAGCAATAAAAAAGCTTATTGAACACCATATACCTGCTCCTGTTGAAGCAGTATTCGATAATGTATTAGAACTATCTATTGATAAACTTGCAATTTCAAGTGCAAAAATGATTATAGTTAAGAGAAGCATAAATGTTGCTAATATTAAAGTAATTACATAAGGCCATTTACGACGCCAACGTTTTTCTTTCGGAGTTAATCGTGGATGCCGTCGAATAAGATGAGGATAGCGTACTCGATAACGATATGCTGGACGATATTGATACATGAGAACAATTAATATTAAACCTTGTTTGGAGAAGTAAGTATAAGTTATATATATTGCACCGCATATCATACAACCCATTAGAGAATATAAGTGCAAAAATAACAATTATATCAAGGTTTTCATACAATACATATACCCCTGAAGAGTACTCATGTTCAAGACGAAGGTTTATAGAATGATCAATGATGTGATAACAATTTATCACGAAAAGAAAAATGCCTGAAACCAAGAGAAATGCAGACATTAGGTTTTTTTTAGTAATATTTATAACTTGAACTTTATTTATATATAGATGATATTACTTTTAATAGACACATACTTGCGACATCTATAATATCCTTCAGAATAAATAAAAATTTTATCATATTTTCTGTAAAAACTCTTTCGAGTGATATAAATATAAATTTTTCGAGTTAAAAAGAAAATCGAACGAGTCGAGTGAAAGGTCATAATGGTTGAATGATGATCCAATAAGATGACTTTAACCTTAACTGTCGTTTTCCTCCTTCACTGTCTCTGCATTTCACTTGTTTTCGTTATTGTTTATTACGTGTAGCATTTGAATTTTTTTTTGTTAATTATCCTTGTTAAATCAAATACAATAAAATCTGATTCGATCAGGTTAATTTCTTCATTGATCATAAAACAAAAATTGTCATTAACATTTTTATTTAAGGGCAATGTGATGAGTTCTTCGACATCGAGTCGATATCGAGAGTCTGCTGCTGTGACAGCACCAACTAAAGTTCATGAACAACAAAACACATCATTTGCTGAAGAACATGCACTTGATGCTATTGCTAAAGAAGTTTGTATCTAATTATAATCCTTTCTTTACTTATATGTTCTTTAAATCAAGGCCGAACTTCGTTTACAACATCAACGTGAACAAAATCGTGAAGCACGTCAATTACGTCATAAAGAATTAGAAAAAAATGCTCGTGATGTATGAAAATTTTTTATTTTTTATTTTTAATAATTCTATTTTTCAATGTATAAAAAATAAAGGATACAGTTGGTAATAGTTTCATTTTACATAAAACTAATCAAAAGGAACAAGAACAATATGAGGAGGAAGAAGAGGAGGTGATTATTTCACTATGATAATAGATATTAATATATTAGATCTTTTTATAGTTATTCACTTGCTTAATGCTATTTCTTTATGTAGAATTATTAATAAGATCTTAGAAATATATATATGCTATTTTTTATTGAAATGTTTGATCGAATTTTTAGGATGATGGTGGTGATTCAGCAGCACCTCTTACTCCATCAGCTCCTATGGGTGCTAATCGAGTAAGAATTTTCAAAAATAATTTTTCAAGGACTAAACTTTATTTTTTTTTGTTAAAGTCTCGTTTAATGAGTATCGATGGAGGTAATAATAATACAATGGGAACGAGTACTAATTCTTTATTATTACAAAAATTTCTTAATGGTGATGTTGATCTCCGCTCAATTGAACAACGTGACTTACGGGTATATACACCATTACTTCTATTTATTATTTATTTTAAATGTATTTTTATTCTAGCGTCTTTTAAGTGAACTTGAAACAAAATATAAAGCAGCTATGATTGCTAATTCTAGCATGTACAATGAAAAACAAGCATTACGTTATCAGGTTGATACATTTAAAGATATATTAGACGATCATTATGAAACATTAAATCAAGCTAAAAGACAATTGAAAGAAAAAAGCAAAGTAAATAAAAAAATTTCTATCTATCCTACAGTATCGACTAGATGAGATAACACAAAGAATTACGATGAATAATAGCTATTTTTGCTAAGACATAAATAAAAAATAGATAAATCATGTAAAAAGATGTCATTTGTCAATAGACATGTTTAAGTATCCTAAGTTCGAATGAATCATTTATCGATATTTGATTTACTAAAATTAATCAAGGTTAACAATTGATAGATAAAATCTTTTAGATAATAATAAGAGTCAATCAGGTGAAGGTTTTATTCTAATGAGTTCGTCTGAAGAAATGACCTTCTTCATTTTTATTTATTTATTTATTTAAGGATTTTGAACTTCAAAAACGTACATTAACTGATCTTCAACAAGAACATAATCAATTAAAAGAAATTTTAATTAGTCGCGAGAAACTCATTCAAGTAATATTCGAATTTAAACAAGAAAACGATTTTGTTATTAAATAAAATATATAAACATTTAGGAATCAGGAATGCAGTTATTGACTGGTGACGAAGTCAATGGAAAAACTAACAGTGAAGAAAAACTTTCATCTGTTTTACCAACTGGTCTTGTTTCTCAAGAAACTTTAAATTTACTTAATTCACTTGGTAAAGGATCAATTGATGAAAAATTAAAAAGAATATTAAATGAAAAACGTGAACAATTTGAACATATTGTTAAATTAAAATCTGAATTAGATGAAGAAAAAACTCGTTTACGTACACTTGAACGACAATTACCAAAACTTAGTGATTCACAGCATAATCAAAATGGTGCACTAGATTCTGAACATCAAAAACAATTAACGAAAGAAGTAACTGATTTAAAAAATCGTTTACAACGTTTAGAAGCTGAAAATGTATCCGTACATCAAGAAGTAAATATAAAAATAAATAACATTTCTTCTTATTCTTCTCTTAATTTTAGAATAAACGATATGATGCTCAACTTAAAAGACATAAACAACAAACAGATGATGCTGAACGTATTGAAGAAGATCTTAAACAAGAACGAAGACGTTTACAACGAGAGGTAAAGTTTAATCTTTATTAATGAGACACATTCTTTTATAAATAAGATATTTTGAGTTGTTCTTTCTTATCTTTGAAAAAAACCTAAGTAAAACCCTATTATTATTATTAGTATCGTGAAATGAAATCACGATATGATGATGCACTATTGGATAATCAACGTTTACAAGATCGAATTGATTCAATGGAATTTGTACGACGAAATTATAATTCATCATCACGACAACTTATGAATTCTAGTGGAGGAGGAGGTGGAGGAGGAGTTTCATATTTACCTCCGGCATCTTCTCGATCAGGACGTGCACCATCTGTTGCTCGTTATACATCTGTTGAACGTGAAATGGATCCATTACTCCCACCACCATATAGATCACGTGAACCATCAGTAGCTCGACGAGCTTCACGAGACTATTCAAATGATCGTTGGTCAACAAGGCGAGATTCAACAACAAATGACCATGATTACACATCAAGTAATATGCGTCGACCAGATCGTTGGTCCTCAATGACTTCTCCCAACATGAGTTCATCTACTTATAATTTTTCATCACTCCCAGGTAGAATCTACCCGCATGTGATGAATTGCACGATTGCGTTTTTTTTATTAGCATGAGTTTTTACGTATTTATAAAAAGAAAACTATCATTATTCTTTGCCGTGTATGTGTGATAAAATTCGCATGTCTTTATTTATATTTTTGAAATAATAATAAATTTTCTTTTTATTTTTAGCTTCGCGTCGCACGTGAAGAATTAGAAAGTGAACGTACACGCAGTGATGTTCTACAACGTGAGAATGAACGTTTACGAACATTACGTAAAAAAACTTTGCTCAATAATACTGAGGATAATCTTAGTACATCAACCATCGCTTCACGATCTCATACAAATTCACCATTACTACCTGTTGTGTCTTCATCTTCGTCTTCAAATGATCTGCATTACAATCCTTCAATACTAGATCCTACTTAAATTTTCCTTTTCAATTTTCTTTTTTTCTACCTTCAATTGCTTTGTTTTCTTCTTCTTCTCTTCTTTATCAGTTGTGATGTCCTACAATTTGTTTGTTATTATTTATTTTGTGCTGATTAGCTATGCATTCGCTTTGTTGTCGTATTTCTTTTCGTTTTCTCTTTTTTTTTTATTATTATTTTGTGCGAATATGTACCTTTTCTTATCGAGCCCAATGTATGCACACATGCAGAAGCTACTTCTCGCTATGTTCATTTTCATTTTCACTTTTTTTT